TCAATCCAATAATCATTTTCATTTATCACTGTAAGCATTAATATTAATCAAAAAAAATTTGATGATATTCTTTTAATATTTCTGTTAAAATTTCTGTTTTTCTTTCCTCGTTTGACTATAGACTCTACATTATCAAAGTTTCGCGATTCAAATTAACATCTTTCGGATTTAAGTATCTTCTTTTAGTCAAATCTTACTTTATTTTAGTATTAACTAATCAAAGATTCTTTGCCTTCCTTAAATCTCTTAATTTTTCTGTTTTTCTTTCTTTGTTAACTATAGACTCTTCATCATCAAAGGTTTCAAATGAACACTCTTGAGATTACGGTATCTTTTCTTTTAGTTAAATCTTACTTTATTTTAGTATTAACTAATCAAAGATTCTTTGCCTTCCTTAAATCTCTTAATTTTTCTGTTTTTCCTTCTTTGTTAACTATAGACTCTTCATCATCAAAGGTTTCAAATTAACACTCTTGAGATTACGGTATCTTTTCAGTTTAGTTAAATCTTACTTTATTTTAGTATCATCGATTTATTTGTCAGTTAAAATTTTTAGCACTATAAATTAATCCCAGGCTGCTGTTCTCACTACACAAAGTTGGTTTCATATTGGTTGTATTATTTACATTCGATTGTTTGTTTAGGCGTATTTCAAAGAGCCAACAACCTATTGGTTAGTGAATTAACCAGTGTTACCTCTATTCTTTGGTTTGAAAAAATTAAGTTTTTGGATTAAGAAATAGCTACTTAATCACAGTATTAATTAGTAGTTGACCGCTTGCTTGCTATTGAAGAAAAGCTCACTGATAAATCATCTGACCAAAAACGAAAAATTCAGTTTCATCATTTTCTTTTTATTTAGAATTAGTTTTGAAATTCTGTTGTAGATGCTATGAAGAAGCGCGGTTATTTGAAAAGTTAAGAATCTTCTTCTGAGAACTTTTCGCCGATAGTAAGAAAACTCAGTTTGATCAGTGCCCGTCTATTTTTGAGATCAAAGCTAGTTTTGAAATTTTGTTGTTATGACGAAGAGTATTATTTTAAAAGCTATAAATCTCTTTCTGAAGTTTTCTCGCATTTCAAAGTCAAAAAAACTCAGTTTGTATCAGTTGTTGTTCTTTAATTCAAAGCCACTTAGTTTTAAAGTTGCCTTTATTTACTACTTCCATCAAACTAGAACTAATGTTAAGCTTGTGTATTAAAGTCGAAAGGTTTCGAGCAAGAAAAATGATGAAAAATATATGTTGAAACAAGCTGAAGGTGTTGATGATCSAAGAAAAAAATTCAAGTTTTCACAAAATGTGTACATAAAAAATAATGAAATAATRCCAATAAGCTAGCGTGGAAAAATGATATTTTTGTTCCTAATTTGTTCTCTATTCGTTTTGGCCCTAAATTATTTTATTAGTAAGCCTTTTGTAACTTAGGTTTATAAGTGCGAAGTATCAAAAATAAAGCAAGAAAATGTTCATTCACGCTAACTTCAAAAACTCAAGTGCCAACCGACTCGCTAACTATTTAGATCTTATTTTCATCCAAAACTTAAATTAAAGCTTTTCTTTCACTCAGAAAATTTCCGTTCTCTAATCCGATGTATTGGTTTGCGCTGCGAAAACAATTAAATAAAAACAAAAAAGATTGGAGTTATCCGTTGTTCTCCTAGTCTTTCTTGCAACTAGATAATCCACACGCCTTTCCGTAGAGATCTTAGTTCCTTCTAAGTATTGACATTTCTCAAGGTTTTACCAGTCTCAATTACGCTTTGATCGCTTTTCATCGCACGTCATAGGAAGCGCTTTCTTTTTAACTAATTGAATTGGTTAACTTGTGTTACAGAGTTATAACGGGAGATATAGTGACTGGCGTATTTATAAATACTCTGGACTTACAATCTTCCACTACTGGATCTGTACACCACTCGCAAGCTAGCTGAACAACGACCGCTTTAGGTAAGACGAGGTTTATACATGAATGAGTGTGTTAAAGCGAGTAAATCCATATGTCCTGTTATCAAGGAAAGTGGCAGCTAGATGGTAGTACGAAAACAAAAACAGTAACAGCAAAAACAAAATGACACTCTATAAAAATATGAACTTCAAAGTTTTGGTAGGCAAAATCTTAAGTTAACAGGTGTTTAAATTATATAGCAACTGATTCGATTTTCTGTAGTGAGTAACATTTGTTAAAAATTTCATAATTTTCAAACAAAATATGACTAATTAACAGAGATTTGCTTTTTGAAAAGCTCTTATGTATTGCGAACTATTTGCTTTGTTCTTTACACTTTGTGGAAGTAACGTCGATATTAAGTACACGTCAAGAAAACAAATCACTCCGTAGCTGCTTTCCTTGTCTAGTTGTTCGGCGTTAAAAATTGCATGATAGCTGAATTTCAATTAATTGTTACTCTAAAGTTTTACAACAAACTTAGTTTGTCTTGGTGAACTTTTTGTTACTACTTTTTCCAAATATTGTGATAAGGTGAGATTCAATTTCAAGCTCCTAATTTGAATGAAAACCATTTTGAGCTTCAAAAAACGTTTGATAGTCACAGAACCCGTTTGAGTGTCAAAAAAACCGTCGTGAGTCAAAAAACGCATTTAGACTGGTCAAAGGACCTATTTGAGTGACAAAGAAGCCCTTTGAAGACCAAGAAGACATTTGAATGTCGAGAACCCTGTTGAGAGTCAAAAGGAAACGAAAGCAGTCGAAAGTAAAGGAAGCCATTGAAGAGTCCAAAAAAGCCAATCGAGATTATGACTTTCTTTGAGTGCTTGAAGTCTATTGCAGGATTTTCGCAGGCTCATTTAAAGTATCTTCAATTATACTATATGGAAGCGGGTTATTTATCTTTAACGATACATATTTTTATACCATTATACTTCAGTACCTTTATTAGTAAACCAAGATGAAGAGACTCTCTACATTAGCTCTGTGCTTGATACTCTTGATTGGGATCTTCCAGGCAAGCGCGTCTTCAGGTATGTGACCGCAAACTACCGGCTGTAGTAATTCTTGGCAATACCAGTCCGAAAACTGGGCAATCTGATAATGCATGAGCGGCAACCTTTTATTGATATTCTGAAACATCCTCTGGGCTGATCAAAGTCAGGGCACAGCTAACTTACAGATAAAACTGAATTCAACTTGTTAGTTTTAGCGGATAAAAACCATCAAGCACAGACTTAAGACTCCATTCACATGGGATACGAGAACCGTTTCCAGCAATAATATACGTTTTGACCTATTTGTAGGTAAATTGATCTCGATTTGAAAAAATCTTTCAGAAATATGAGAAAAAGTAAATAACTGAAAATGAAGTAAAGTAGTAAAGCAAAGTAAAAAAAATTATAGCATAAATTTATTTTTTTTAAACAACAGAAACTATAATTCTTAAGATTAAAAAGTTTTTCGGCTTTAAATTTTTAATCTTTTCACTCTAATTCCTTTCTTTTTTTCCTTCTCTTTCCTGTCTTTTGTTTCTTATTTGAAAAAAATTAAAATGGAACTAATATTAATTGTAACCATGGTAATACTAATAGCAACAACTATTTACAATGATTAACAATTATATATAAATCAATAATTCATTTACATCAGTCACTGGGGTCCAGCTAGATCTCTGTCTCTTTGTACAGTAGTGTCCAATTGTGTTTATGAACCGTTGTTCATGCCTATTCCCTACTAATTGAAGATTCACGTCGTTTCTATTGTGAACTATTGAAAACTAGCAACGGCATTTTTCTCTTTGCTTGCCTCAATTTATTTTGGAAGCTTTCACTCTAAACCTCGCCTCAATCATTCCATTCTGAATTACACGATCATTTCATTAGCTTTTGCTTTTATAACGAGTGCAGATCTTCCCAACTGGCAAGACCCGAGCCAGATAGACGATGATGAAAGAACGCCATCTGAATCAACGAGAGTAAATCCAAGAATGATGAAACTAGGAGTCAAGAGAGGTGGAGGACCCCCTCACAATCGATGGGGTGGCATTCTTGGAAAGCGAAACTATTAGGACAAAAAATAACATGAACAAAAACCATTGATGCTCAGTGTTCTAATTACTTACTAAATGAAACCGAAAGAAACAAATAATAATGGCATAAGTTAAAACTGCACGAGACCTTTCTAGGAGACTACCAACACTGTAATGTTTCGCTATGCCACAAAATGACATTCTGAAACTCTTTCTCTGTTACCAATGCTTTTCTTTTCCTTTTCTAGTAMTGATTGCTAACTCAGCTTGTAAGTGCAACACAGCAAAAACAAAACAAAAAACACTTTGACACTTTGACGTATTTTCTCCATCTTTAGTTAAAACGCTAAACTAAACTTCACAGTAGAATACATATAACGAGTACCAATGGTCAAAATGTGAATAACGGTCGTAGATTATATATATTGAAAGTGATGAACAATAACCCTACTTAAACTCCATGCAATCACAGAGCATGATTAAACTGATTCAACTAAAGCAAGGTTACATTGCTATGGCAACAGTAGTCCTGTATTTTAGATAACTGACTAATCATTACCTTGCTAATCAGAGAAATGAAGTTGAATAGTCAAATGTTAATAAAATTAATGCATGATTAAAATAATGGTGTTTATTTTATGACTAATGGATAACAAATGGGGAATATTGCATGATGGGGAGTTTAACGTTTAACCCGTTTCTTAACCATGGATAATGATCAAAGACACTTCACACCAAAATATATGCAGTTTTGAAGATTTTATGAGTATGAAATAGAGTTTCACGAAAAAAGTTCAAAAGCAAAAAATATAAGAAAAATAATTATGAAACAGGATAGGCCAAGGTCGATTTATTTTAAACAAAAAGTTGTTGCYTACTACCCTTTGCTTATTAGAGAAATTTAACACTACTTTCCCCATGATTTCCTGTAGTCGAAGAGTTTTTTTTCTCCATCTTATATCATTTCAATTTTGACTCTTGGGTATTGACCGAGCCAAGACGCAGAAATAGATAATCGAAGAGGCACAGAATATAACAGGATAAACCGGATTATCTATCCATGGTGTGGGATCCTAATATCAAGTTCCTGTTTATCAATACATCATCCTCTTTACAGGTTCCATTGTCATGAGGATATCTTGTGGATTAACTGGGTTAACGTACACTAATCAGGTTGTAGAAACTCGATAATGATGATGAGGATGTTGATAATGATGATGATGAGATAATGAATGATGATGCTGATGTTAATACTGATGATGATGATCATACTGATTAGAATGATGGTGGTGACAAGGGCATGCGGAGGGGAGGGTTCCAGGGGTTTCGTAACCCCCCTTCATGGTAAACAAASGCTTTGAGACATGAACCTTTATTTGCCAAGTTWGTGATAGTCCATCAGCTTGTTCAGCTTATCAGCCTGAAACAAAAACTCCTGTATAATTTTGCAGTCGATAATGTTGATCACCTAGTTTTGAATTCAAGAGCCAATCGCCATAAGAAATCTGACATTCCCCCCCTCCCCTCCCCTCAAGAGACGTCTGTACACGCCCCTGGGTGATAATAGTGGTGGCGATAAGGATGATACGATGATAATGATGGTAAAAGGTCCTTGCCTTACCAGGAAAACAGTGGATGGGTAGGAATGGCATCAACTGTTATGGAAGGCACCCACTGTTATCTAGTATGGTAAAAGGTCGTTGCCTTACCAAGATAACAGTGGATGGATAGGAATGACATCAACTATTATGGATGGCATACACTGTTATCTAGTATGGTAAAAAGGTCGTTGCCTTACCAAGATAACAGTGGATGGATAGGAATGACATCAACTGTTATGGATGACATCCACTGTTATCTGGTATGGTAAAAGGTCGTTGTCTTACCAAGATAACAGTGGATGGGTAGGAATGGCATGAACTGTTATGGATGGCATCCACTGTTATCTGGTATGGTAAGAGGTCGTTGCCTTACCAAGATAACAGTGGATGGGTAGAATTGCATCAACTGTTATCTGGTTTGGTAAAAGGTCGTTGTCTTACCAAGATAACAGTGGTCGTAGTCCTACCAAGATAAGAGTGGATGGGAAAGAMTAGCATCAACTGTTTTTCATGGCATCCACTGTTACCAGTAAATTGAAATGATTAATTAATGAGCAATAATAATTAAGTAATTTTATCGAAGTTTATCAAGTGCTAAATTTTATTACAATTTGGTTAAAGAAAAACAAGATGCATCCAAAAGGAATCCTGGGCCGCCACTTTCAAAATTTGGTGCATTCAGAGACACAATCCAAGATGACACCAGAAGGCCACCATCAAGATTTGGAGCATTCAGAGACACAATCCAAGATGACACCAGAAGGCCA